ATCCTGTCCTCATCCGACCGTCCCGGCCTGCCCACCATCCCGTGATTCTCTGCAGCCCCCTGGGAGCCTGTGTTGAGAGCAGCTCGGGGTCAGCTGCCCACTGCTGTGTTCTTGTCCCAGGTACTCACCACTGGCTGAGCAGTTCTCCCACCAGTTCCCATCCCATGACCTGCCATCTGTTCTGGCCAAGTTTTCCTTGCCAGTCTCCTTGTCGGAGTTCAGGAGTCCTCTGGCCCCGCCAGTACAGGAGGTGAGTGAAGAAAGCTCGGGAGTCGGCCTGCAGCCTGTGAGCTCAGGTACCACCTCCTGACTGTCCTGTCCAAGAGGCCTTTCACACTGCCACCCCTCCTGCCTGGTGCTGGCAGCGTTCTGTGCAGCTGCGTGACCCGAAAGCCAGCTGTCAGGTGGCTGCCTGCACACACTTCACTCGTGACCAGTCTGTGTAGTCCCCTTAAAGGTGGAACTGAGGCTGGGTGCCGGTGGGTCACGCCTGTCATCCTAGCCACTCAGGAGGCTGAGATCTTAGGATCTCGGCTCAAAGCCAGCCTGGGTAGGAAAGTCTGTGAGACTCTGATCTCCAATAAACCACCAGAAAACTGGAAGTGGTGCTGTGGCTCAAGTGGTAGAACACTGGCCTTGAGCTGAAGAGCTGAGGGACAGTGCCGAGGCCCAGAGTTCAGGCCCCACTACCAACCAAAAAAAAAATAGTACTGAGTTAGCCTTGACCAGAGCGCACTAGCCTCTCCTGGTCCGTGCTGCTTTCCCACAGATGGAGGGTGCGATGGGAGCTTTTTCGTCTGAGCCTGGGTCCCACCTCCCAGGAGAGCTTGGCACCAGTCTCCTGGCTCCTTGGGGCTCGGCCTCAGGGCCCAGACTCTCCTTATCCAAAAGGACTTTTCAGTGGACCTTCCTGGGACTGCCCCTGCCCGGTGTGGCAGGGGGTGGAGAGGGGGAGAATGACTTCTGTGGGTGGCTTCCCTGTGCGCTTTAAGGTTCTATTGTACAGCCTCTTCCTTGGTGAGAGGAACCTGCCCCTCCCTTCCACCAACTGCCGGACCAGGGGCAGAGCCAGGTAGGACAGGGGCTGGGGCAAACTGGCTGTTTTCACAGCCTTGTCTCCAAAAACAAGGGATCGTTTTCACAGCCTTGTCTCCAAAAACAAGGCATCGGTTTTAACGTATGCCAGATCTCCTGAACTGAGTACTTAAAATTAAACCCTTTTCTTCTCAAACTGTGAATGAGAAAAAGATCCTGGTTTTTCAGTTAATTTAGACCCCGAGTATGACAGAGCCTTTCATTTCTGGGCGCCCGTGCCAGGTGGTACCAGCTGGATAAAGGCCACACCCTGCATCCGCTCTGTCTCTCCAGCTCCCTGCGGCTCTCGGGAGGGGCCAGCGGTGCTCCTGTCCCAGCACAGACTGCCCAGTTGTCTGGTTCATGTGGGGTGAGCAGTCCAGGCCATGCGTGAGCAGTTCCTTAGACCTTGCTGGGGGCTTGGACGCCCTGGCGTTGGTCCTGCCAACTCCGGGGGATGACGTGCTGTGCCGTGCTTACAAAGCTCCTGGGCCTGCCTCCCTTCCTTCCCTTCTCCCTCTTTCCTTCCTTTCCCTTCGTCCCTTCCTTGCCTCCTTCCTTTCTTCCTTTCCCTTCGTCCCTTCCTTCCTTTCCTTCTCTCCTTTATTAGCATACATTAGTTGTACAAGAGGGACTTCATTGTGACATTTGCACACACACACACACACACACACACAAATATCTATGTATTCTGATCACACTCATTCCCTAATCTCCCTTACCCATCCCCCTTCTTTTTAAAACAATTCTGGCATATTTCATTGCTTTCTTTTCATACAAGCAAATAAAACTACTGCAACTGTATCTACCATTCACTGTTTCCCTTCCCCTCCACTGGTACCTCTGTTCAAGAGAATCTGTTTTGCTCTTCCATTAAGTGTGTATAGTTGTGCCAAGGGTTTTTATCATGTAGTTCAGCCATGCATATGTTGTATTTTGCTCAGAACCATCTCCATGCCTTTCTCTGTCTTCCATCCCCCTATTTACAGTTTCATTGAGACTCCTTATTGCTTTCTTCACACACAGATGCAATACATTTAGAAGTTATTCACCCTCCGTCTTTCTGCTCCCCTCCCCCTAAATCCCGCAGGCAGCGTCATGTTCCGTGTGTTCCGTTACACGTAGATAGTTTGTCACCCTCTGGTTGTCTTGGGTTTGGCCAGGGTTAGTATATGCAGCCTCAACCCCACTCCCTTCTGGGCAGTGACTGGGCAGCGGTTCCTCCTAGACCTGAGGTGAGACCACTGGTGCCCTCCAACCAACCGTGAGGAGCTGGGTTAGATGTCAGCCCCCTGCACGCCTGTGGGAGGGAGGCAGGAGGTCCCTGTCCCTAGTTTTCTTCTGAAACCACCTAGGTGTCCGGGGCTGACTTGAAGGCAGACCCAGAGAGAATCTTCTGCTCATGGGCAGCTGCCTGCACCTTTTTTCTGAGCAGTATCTGGGCTTGTCCAAGAGTGCATTGGGGTCTGGGAGGGAAGCATTGTGGGTGACTGGAGGGGAGGCCAGCTCGGAGAAGTGGTGGGAGTGAGTGGAGGTGGGATCCGGGGGCCCTCCTGGCCCTGCCTTTCCTGAGGCGTGGCCGTGAAGAGCTGGCCAGCGTCCGGTGCTCCTTGGCCAAGGTGAGGGCCTCCTGCTTAGGAGTTGGCACCAGCTGGTTCTACCTTGGACATCGGTTTCCTTGTCCCCAGGAGGGAATTGTGTTGGGGTGAGGAAACTGGCTCAGCCCCCACCTCCTGTTCCTCACGCAGACCCAGCTCATCCAGATGGTGGTGTGGATGCTGCAGCGCCGGCTCCTCATCCAGCTGCACACCTACGTCTGCCTGATGGCCTCGCCCAGCGAGGAGGCGGCCCGCCTGCGAGAGGAGGACGTGCCCTTCCCCGCCAGGGTTGGCGGCCGCAGCCTCAGCACACCCAATGCCCTGAGCTTCGGCTCCCCAAGTAGGGTCCCCTTCAGCCCGAGTCCGGTAGTGAGGGAAGTCTGGGGTGGTGGCCAGGAAGCCTGGATGGGCACCTACCTGTCCTCACGTGTACACGTCCCTGTCTCCCTGTACCACCGTGGCTCTTCCGCAGAGCATGACTGGAGTTAGGAGCAGCCTAACCACCATCACAGACAGTTGAGACCCTCTCCGTCTGCTTTCTCTGAGACCCCGTGTCCACAGACAGCAGTGTTGCCATGACCCAGGCCTTTGGCTTGGGGAAGACGAGGGCCTGGTAGGTGTTTCTTGGCCTGAAGTCTGGTGTTGGGCTTCAGGCTTTATGCAAGACACCTACCTACACAGGGTGCTCTGCTCCCCTGACCCCGCCCTTCTCCCCATGAGGTGCTGGGCTCCACCCAGCATGGCTCTGGGTTAGATGTCAGGCCCCCCCCCCCCCCCCACCTCACAAGTCTAGCTGTGCCTCTGGGAGCCAGGGTCCCTGTCACTAGTTGTCTTCTGAATCGACCTGGCTGAGGCTGCGGAACCCAACCCAACCCTGCCTTGGGTGTAGGATGTGCAGCATGGCTACAGAGGACAGCTCCTTGGGTCCCAGGCCTGCCACATAGGAGGACACACTCCCAGGGATGCAGGTTTCTAGGTGCAGGCAGAAGGTTCAGGTAGAGTAACAGGAATCCTTGCTGTCTGACCTGTATCTCCCCTCCTCACTCCCTCCCCCCCCAGCCAGCAGTGATGACATGACTCTCACCAGTCCCAGCATGGACAACTCTAGTGCAGAGCTGCTCCCCAGTGGGGACTCCCCACTGAACAAGAGAATGACGGAGAACCTGCTGGCCAGTCTGTCAGAGCATGAACGGGCAGCCATCCTCAGTGTGCCCGCAGCCCAGAACCCCGAGGACCTCCGCATGTTTGCCAGGTGGGGGCAGAGGGTGACGGGGGGGGGGGGGGGTTTATGCCCAATTCCAGGGTCCTGAGAAAGCAGAAGGGGACATAGGTACATGTACATTCATGGTGGGGGAGGTGTGTTGAGCGCCCTCCTGGGGCAGAGATCCAGGCTTGGATGTGGAACTGTCACTGGCTAAGAGGCAGCAGCTCTGAGTTCTCACCCACAGGGGTCTTGGGAGCAGTTATAAGCTTAGGATGCCCATATGGTGGCCTAATGGCCTGCGGTCTGTCAGACTCACCCTGCCCAGGAAGGGTCAGGGTGTTGCATGTTGGCCTTCGGAGTGACTATGCCCCAGGCATTATGGACTATCTGCAGCTCTTCCAAACAGCTGGTCCAGGATTTTGTGCCAGCCTTAGCTGCAGAAAGCCCCCTGGAGCAGGGTCCCTGCCACAGCAGCACATAAAAGCCTCTTGCAGCCCCCTGCCTGTCAGGTCGCTGGCGTGGGCCATCCCTGGTGGGAGCAGCAGTGCCTCACGGGTTCATTTCAGGCTCTCCGATCATCCCTGGGACACTACCAAGGCACGGGGACGTACGTGTGTGTGTGTGTGTGCGCGCGCGCACGCGTGTGTGTGTGCGTGTGCGCCTCCACCTCTGCTCAGAGTTGATCCTCACTGGTGGCGGTGGGCCTCCGTGGGGCTGCCTGTGGGCCAGGCTCACGCCACCCTCTCTCCTCCAGGCTCCTTCACTACTTCCGAGGCCGCCACCACCTGGAAGAGATCATGTACAACGAGAACACACGGCGCTCCCAGTTGCTTATGCTCTTTGACAAGTTCCGTAGCGTCCTGGTGGTAACCACCCACGAGGACCCTGTCATTGCTGTCTTCCAGGCACTGCTCACTTGAGACCAGGCAGGGCAGGCAGGGGCTGCACACGTATGTCATGAACTGGCACCTCCATTTGGGGTTCTCTCATTGTGGGACCCTGAACCTGCTTCTCTTAAGGTCTGGCGTTGGATGGACAGCCATCCCTGGCTCTGCTCACTGAAGTCCTCCAGACCCCGGTGTGTCTGCTTCCTTGCTGTGGGCTCCAGTCAGGGTCAGCAGTACTCTTGCAGTCCTTGGGCACCTCAGCATCACTGAATTGGAGGGACACATACACAGAGGCTGCACCTTTCTAACCTTGGCTATCTTTGCTGTCTTTTCACCATCTACCCTGGAGAATGGGAGGAAACATTTGCCCATCCTTGCCCATCGGACAGCCGTGGCAGCATATTAGGTCTGAGCACCAGGCCGATCCAAAGCCAACACCACCTCTGTTCACCACGCACTCCCTTTCTCCCATCTTACCATCAGTCTTTCTTGCCTAGCATCACCACAGCATTACATAAACCACCAGCAGGCTTGCCGAGCTATCTCTGTCCTGGTCATCTGAAGGACAAGGGTGGGCATGGGCTGGCCCAAGTGAGCTTGAGTAGCCCTGTCACTCAAGGTTAGCCTGTGGCGGGGTAGCCTGACTGGGAGCACAGAACCCTGGACCTGGGTGTGTGCGTGTGCACACTGGGGCTTCCTGCAAGCACTGGCTGAAGATACGCTCATCTGTCAGCAGGGGTCTATCTGAAATGTAGGCAAGCGTTCCCTAGAAGCAAATATTTATTTGACATTTAAAAAATTAAAAGAACTTGTCTGAGTAGGCTCTATGTCCTGGCCTGTATGTCCTGCTCAGCCACTTTGTCCACCACACTGACCCAAGGGCAGCCCCGGATATAGAAGCGCAGGGGCTTCTTTGTCCACTCCCCCGCCTGACCAATGCCCACACGGGCTGCTGCCACTACAGCGGGTCCACTGGGCTGCGGGGACCCATACTCCAGCCACAGAGCCCCATCCTGGGCCAGGTCCCGCTGGTCAAAGCTCTTGTCAATGGCCAGGGCCTGGCACAGCTTGGAGGGGCCATTGCAGAGCTCCCGGTCTTTGATGGGGCGGCCGGCAGCACCCTTCCGGCATGTGCCGCGAAGCTGTCTCATGGACTCCAGTCCTTCGAGGGGCTCTAGTGCTCGCAGCAGGACACAAGATCCATCTCCTGTGGGACAGAGACACACCTTGAAAAACAGATTCCCCACACCTCCCTGCGCCAACATGCTTTCAGTTCTGCAAGGGTCATGCAGTGGCCTTTCTGCATGTGTATCTGCACTTGCTGCTTCTGGGTGCACCCTGGCAGGAGGATTTTGGAGACACTGAGCTTTCTTGCTCAAGGCTAGCACTCTACCATTTTGAGCCACATTGCCACTTCTGGTTTTCTGGTGGTTAACTGAAAATGAGAGTCTCACAGACATTCCTGCTCAGGCTGGCTTTGAACTGCAGTCCTCAAATCTCAGCCTCCTGAGGAGCTAGGATATTACAGGTATGAGCCACAGGTGCCCAGCAGGATGTATCTTCTACCTGCCTCCCCTTGTCTCCATATCTGCATTCACAAGGCAGCTGAGCCTTCTCTAAGAGCCTCTGGCAGGCAGCAAGACCTTCCACCATTGCATCATGTAACCAACACTTAGCTGTAGAGACTTAAACACAGTGAGTGCTCAGCAGCAGCCTCTGTAGCTTCCTGCCTTCCCCTGGTCCTGTAATTGCCAGTAGCTATGCCCCAGCAAAAGCTCAGAGAGCAAGGAATGCCCACTTTCCCCTGGCCGGTTCCTGGGGGCTCCCCGCCTGCCACGCCCCTCAACACCCCCCGGCCAAACTGGTTCATGGCAGAGCAGCAGCCAGTGATACATGCTGGGAGAGCCCTATCTGTGATTCTGAGGAGAGGACACATGGCGGCAGGAGGTGCCTTAGGGCCCCAGCTTCCTTGGAGTCTCTTCTGGCCCAACCTTCTATCAGACTGGACTACTTCATGGGCTAGAAATGATGGGCTGACACTCTTGGGCCTAGCGGCCTTACAGTGACAGACACCCCAATTCTTCCTGCCCTGTGTGTCTGGAAAGGCCCTCAGGCTTCCTGGCTGAAGACTGATAGCCTGGGCTCTGGCAGAGCAACCCTGACTCCAGTACAGCTGCTCTCCTGGGACGCTCACTGCCACTGGCCTGTGAGGCTCTGGCTGCCGAGGTCCTGGGAGTCACCTGTTAGTCCCTGCTCTTGGGCCTTGACTACAAGATTGTACCTTGTCCCAGTGCCTGTCCAGGGTGGACAAAGCCATGTTCTCCATCCCAGCTTGCACCTGGCAAACAATAGGTTCTTCTAAGTACATGCCATTCAGCTGGCCAGTTTTCAAATGCAAGACAGAAACGACAGCAAGCAAAGCATGAAGCTCCTGGGCTTTTGGCCTTGCTGCTCTCGGCTTCCCACCTGATTCCCTGTGTGCCCAGTGAGGACTGCAACAGGGGCAGGTCCCAGGCCTGTGAGTGTGCACCTGCCCCTTCTGCCTCCCTGCCCTCCCTGCTCCTGAGCCACCTGGGAATGGGCACAGAGAAAGCTTCACCTTACCAAGCCGTCTCCTGTCCTCTGTAGCCCTCAGTGCTCACGCTCTTAAGTCTTAAGTGGCTCCTGGCCCCCGTGTGTGCTGCTCATACTCCCTGAGCCAAATGGACGCTCCTAGAGCATCTGGTCACATGTTCACATGCCAGACCATGAGCCCCTTGCTGGCATCCCTGAGCATCTGGTTCAACAGGCTGAACGTTCAGCAGACCAACGCTGGGACGGGCCAGCTGGACTTTGCTCCTTCAGCAGGATGCTTTGGCCTCAGACCCCGCCCTGTCTCCTGTACCTGGCACCGAGCTACGTGCTCACTGGGCTCCCCTCTGGAACCGCAAGCACGTGGGTAAGCCCTCACAGGTGCACTGAACCTGTGTCTCCACTCATGATATCCAGAGTCAGAATTCTGCGGTGGCAGCTGTCCTGAGTACTGTGGGGTGGCTGTCGGCACCCTCTATCTCCTAGATGACAGAACCCCCAAACACTGCCGAAGAGAACTGTCCCTGGGTGAGAACTGATGGAGACCTCAAAATAGACTAGCGAAGCTCTGGGGTAAGCTCCCATTCCCTACCACCAGTCCCTTCTGCATTTACACCAGCACTCAGCTCTGCGCTGAGACAAGTGGTAATGTTAAGGGAACAATGCACTCTGGAGCCCCTGACCCCTTGAAATATCCTTGGGCCATAACAAGCAACCAGAGTACCTGGTACTGTGACCTGGCCCTGGAGCGGCACTCCCTGCCTACCTCCTCTTGTCCTCCTCTGGGGGGTCCCTCAGTCCAGTGCCACTAACCTTGGCTGGAGACATTCATGCAGAAGTACATGCCATAGATGATGTACACATATAGAGTCCCCGCTTTCATGAACATGCTGCGGTTGCGGGGGGTCTGCCGGCCACCCCTCGAGTGGGCTGCTTCATCCTCCGGCCCCACGTAGGCCTCTGTCTCCACTATGCGGCCACGAAGCTCCGTGCCATCGGCAAGTCGCCGGACAAGGACCTGTGGGCAGTCCCTCTGTTCAGGGCCATAGGGACAGGGTCTACCCCAGCCCCCAGCTCAGACCCCCTGTAGGCTCAGGATATGTGCCAGGTGTCTAGGCACAGTGGGCCTCCCACCCGTCTTCTCCATGCTGCTACTTGTGCTGGCACTGAGCCTGAAAGCTGCTGAGGCCATCTGTCCCAGTGTCGTCCCCCCCCCCCCCCCCACTGGGCTTGAACGCAGGGCCTTGCTCTCTCACTTGGCTTTTTCACTCAAGGCTGGCACTCTACCCTTTGCCATTTCCAAGGCCACCAATCTGCCTGGCCACCACACTGTAGGTCTTGCTCACCAAGAGTCCTGACCACAGGTTGTCATCTCAAACTTCAGCAAGAGGTTGAAGATTCTTGGAAGTTCATTGTTCACTGATGCCACGCCTACTCCAGTGGAGTCTGCTTAGCATGGGAAACCTGCTTTCAGACCTGAGAATGGGGCTTCACAGAGACCTATCTCTGAAATGGGACTTCACCGAAGTCTACCTCAGAGAATGGGGCTTCACAGAGATCTATCTCTGAGAATGGGACTTCACTCAAGTCTACCTCAGAGAATGGGGCTTCAAACAGGCCTACCTCCTGGGAAGGCTGGCAAACCCCAGGGAAAGATGTGTTTCTTTCCCTGCTTTTCTTTTCCTCACTGTATAGGAGTGCCTATTAATCTTTTACTGTTTCTGCTGCTCATTGTGCTTACTCATGCTCAACGTTCCCTTATTCAAAGCTCTTTCTTGAAAGTGTTGACGACTCCAACATCTGATGAGTGTCTTAAAAATATGACTAACTCACCAGAGTTAAGTGCTACCCTGAAAGCCCCTCTTATGGAGGCTAGTAGACAAGTCATAAGTAAATATAAAAGTATTGGGGGTTTCACAACTCACTTCAGCAGAATGAATTGTTTGTAAGAGATTTACAAGAAGCTGTAGGCTCGGCTAGAACAGAAAGAATGTATGGCAATTGCTGAGATAACTACTTAGGAGAAAGAATTTCCTGTTACTCTCTTTCATTTACTAAGAGACTTGCTAGATCTAGGCCTCCGTGGCGCTCACTATTAAAGAAGGAACAGGAAAGATCTTATGGGACAGTTAAGGCCTCTATAAAAATAGGTAATGGAAGCCGGGCGCTAGTGGCTCACGCCTGTAATCCTAGCTACTCAGGAGGCTGAGATCTGAGGATCGCGGTTCAAAGCCAGCCCGGGCAGGAGAGACCGTGAGACTCCTATCTCCAATAAACCACCAGAAAACCGGAAGTGGTGCTGTAGCTCAAGCGGTAGAGCGCTCGCCTTGAGCTGAAGAGCTGAGGGACGGCGCCCAGGCCCAGAGTTCAAGCCCCACGACCAACAAAAAATAAAATAAAAAATAAAAATAGGTAATGGTTAATTGGTGTCAAACATCGAAACCCATTGTATTTCTTAGAGATAAGCCGGAAACAAGTGCCTATCAGGCGACCAGCTGGTGACCACCCAAAAATGAAGCCATGCAGCAAGATTGTGTAACCTTCTGCCCTTTCTTATGGAGACTTTTTGCTATAAAAGTTTGTTATCCTCTGCATTAAATCGCACTCAGCATCCACTCCTCTTGTGTGTGAGTTGTCTGTTTGCCATCTCCCCACCTATTCCAGTTCCTCCTCTAGGTGTCCTCCATTGTCCCGACAGAGCCGGTCCGCGGCACACTGAGTCTCTACTTTTCCATCTCCTCTCAGGATTCCCTTGAGAACCATGCTCAGCATGAAGCCAGGCAGTGTAGAAGGGACAGGGACCCTACTCAACCACCTAGGGAATTCCCAGTCTGTGTCATGTCCCCAGTCTCTGCTGTGAAAGCAGTCCCAAGCTGGGTGCCAGTGGCTCACGCCTGTCATCCTAGCTACTCAGGAGGCTGAGATCTGAGGATCGCGCTTCAAAGCCAGTCCTGGCAGGAAAGACCATGAGACTCTTACCTCCAGTTATTTACCTGATGGCTCGAGCAGCGGTACAGAGCTAGCCTTGAGCTGAAGAGCTGAGGGACAGTGCCCAGGCCCAGAGTTCAAGCAACCACAACCAACACCAACAAAAAGATAAAGGTGAGCTAGATGGTGGTGGCTCACACCTGTAATCCTAGTAACTGAGAAGGCTGAGATCTGAGGATCATGATTTGAAGCCAGCCTGGGTCTCCAGTTAATCACTAGAAAACTGGAAGTGGAGCAGTGGAGAGCACTAGCCTTGAAGAAAAGGAGCTCGGGAACAGTGCTCAGGCCCTGAGTTCAAGCCCCAGGATCACCAACAACAAACCCAGGCCAGGCAGGAAAGTGTGACACACTTTTATCACCAATTAACCACAAAAAGCCTGAAGTGGACCTGTAGCTCAAGTGGTAGAGTGTTAGCCTTGAGCAAAATGCTCAGGGTTGGGATGCAAGCCCCAGAGCTAGTTAAATAAATAAATGAACGAATGAATGAAAAAGAAGTGGGCCATGAAGGTCAGGCTGTGCTTTGGCACCTATGGCGCTTCAGACAGACCCAGCTAACTCTGGCTGTGTACACAGGCTAACAGGTTGGGCCTTCTCGCTTCCTGTCCACCTGGCATAGCTCAGATCCTCACCCTATACTGAGCTGCCTCTGGGGAAACTGCTTGAGCTGTCCCAAGCAACTCTGATGCTAGCAACACCCTGGCAGCCACCTTCAGTCCCAAGTGCCTGAAATGAGCGCATGGTGTCATGCAGACAGGCCCCAGCCAGGGAACCAGCTGTGTGAGCAGACGACACACAATGGACACGCAATGGACTGCGGCGTCTGCAAGTGGCCTTTCCTGAGGAGGACCCCGGGTGGGAGAGGCTGAGGACGCAGCTTGCTGCCGTCATTGCCAGGGCAGGAGCCATTGCTGTTCTCCTTTTTCTTTCCAGCGACCCCAGATAACTGGGACCCAACTATCCAGGAGCTTTTGCGTGAGCGCTAGTGAGGCGCACCTGGGCAGCGGTCACCCCGGGGCGGATGTTACCTGTCCCAGAAATGCCCGGGCGAGGGGGACTGCTGGCTGGTTGAAAAACTCCGTCCCCAGCCGCACACCACACTCCTTTGGACTGGAGAAGTAGACGCTGCGTTGGAGGCCCGGGGTCCGGGGCGGCCCCCAGCGCGGCGCCCGGGGAGGGGAGGCCCGCAGGGTGTCCGCTGGCGACCGCGGCTCTCCCGCCTCTGCCTGCCGCTGCTGCCTTTTTTGCCGGGTCTTCGGGAAAAGCTAAAACCGGAGGGGAAACGGATCTCTAGGTGCGGAAGGCCCGGGGTGTGCCTCGGTTTCCCCGTCTGCAACGGGCAGCGCCCACGCCACAGGTAGTCACGAAGCCAGGGCACCGCCGCGGGGGTCTGGGCCAGCCCGGGAGGCCCCGCACCCCCCGCCGGCCCCGAGGCCCCGCACCCCCGCCGGCCCCGCGACCCCCGCCGGCCCCGAGGCCCCGCACCCCCGCCGGCCCCGCGCCCCCCGCCGGCCCCGAGGCCCCGCACCCCCGCCGGCCCCGAGGCCCCGCACCCCCGCCGGCCCCGAGGCCCCGCGCCCCCCGCCGGCCCCGAGGCCCCGCGCCCCCCGCCGGCCCCCGAGGCCCCGCGCCCCCCGCCGGCCCCGAGGCCCCGCACCCCCACACCCCCGCCGGCCCCGCGCCCCCCGCCGGCCCCGAGGCCCCGCACCCCCCGCCGGCCCCGAGGCCCCGCACCCCCCGCCGGCCCCCGCACCCCCCGCCGGCCCCGAGGCCCCGCACCCCCCGCCGGCCCCGAGGCCCCGCACCCCCCGCCGGCCCCGCACCCCCCGCCGGCCCCGAGGCCCCGCACCCCCCGCCGGCCCCGAGGCCCCGCACCCCCGCCGGCCCCGAGGCCCCGCACCCCCCGCCGGCCCCGAGGCCCCGCACCCCCCGCCGGCCCCGCACCCCCCGCCGGCCCCGAGGCCCCGCACCCCCACACCCCCGCCGGCCCCGCACCCCCCGCCGGCCCCGAGGCCCCGCACCCCCCGCCGGCCCCGAGGCCCCGCACCCCCCGCCGGCCCCGAGGCCCCGCACCCCCCGCCGGCCCCGAGGCCCCGCACCCCCCGCCGGCCCCGAGGCCCCGCACCCCGCGGGGACCCGGGCCTCACCGACGGCCGCCACCCCCCGGAGGTCCGGACCCGCCAGACCGGAGCGAACGGTGACGTGACCGTGGCCGCGGCCTCTCACCCGGCTCGCTCCCCGTCCGGCCCCGGCGCCTTCCGGGCGGCGCGCTCGTCCCGGACGCGGAGGTCCGTCGGGCGCGGCCTCGGGCGCCGGCTCCCCGCGAGCTCGGGCCGCGCCGTGCGCTCGCATCGGGCCGCTCGGCCAGCGCGTCCCGGCCGCCGGAAGCGCGGGGGCGGGCGGGAGTGGGCGGGGCCGCGCCTGCGCGGAAGGCGCCGGGGAAAGGCGCCACGGCCCCGGGTACGGGATCGGGGAGAGGCTCCGGCCGGGGGGCGTCAGAGCGCACGGGGTGGGGCCGGAGACCGCGCCTCCTGTGTCCGGAGGGCCTGGCCCCGCGGTCCGGCTCTCCGCCGGAGCAAGGGGCGGGCGGGGACTCTGCCCCCGCCGCGCACCACCAACCCGCGCTCCCCGCCGCCCGCCCCCCGACCCGAGCTCCCCGCCGGTCCCCGACCCGAGCGCGCCGCCCGCCCCCCGACCCGAGCGCGCCGCCCGCCCCCCGACCCGAGCGCGCCGCCGGCCCCCGACCCGAGCGCGCCGCCGGTCCCCGACCCGAGCGCGCCGCCCCCCGACCCGACCTCCCCGCCGGCCCCCGACCCGACCTCCCCGCCCGCCCCCCGACCCGACCTCCCCGCCCGCCCCCCGACCCGACCTCCCCGCCCCCCGACCCGACCTCCCCGCCCGCCCGCCGACCCGAGCTCCCCGCCGCCCCCCGACCCGACCTCCCCGCCCGCCCGCCGACCCGAGCGCGCCGCCCCCCGACCCGACCTCCCCGCCGCCCCCCGACCCGACCTCCCCGCCGCCCCCCGACCCGACCTCCCCGCCGCCCCCCGACCCGACCTCCCCGCCGCCCCCCGACCCGACCTCCCCGCCCGCCCGCCGACCCGAGCTCCCCGCCCGCCCGCCGACCCGACCTCCCCGCCCGCCCCCCGACCCGACCTCCCCGCCCGCCCCCCGACCCGACCTCCCCGCCCGCCCCCCGACCCGACCTCCCCGCCCGCCCCCCGACCCGAGCTCCCCGCCCGCCCCCCGACCCGAGCTCCCCGCCCGCCCCCCGACCCGACCTCCCCGCCCCCCGACCCGACCTCCCCGCCGGCCCCCCGACCCGAGCTCCCCGCCGGCCCCCCGACCCGCGCTCCCCGCCCCCCGACCCGACCTCCCCGCCCGCCCCCCCGACCCGAGCGCCCCGCCCGCCCCCCGTGTCCGCGGCCCCTCCGTTGCCCGTGTCCGCGGCCCCTCCGTTGCCCGTGTCCGCGGCCCCTCCGCCCCCCCGTGTCCACGGCCCCTCCGCCCCCCGTGTCCGCGGCCCCTCCGCCCCCCGTGTCCGCGGCCCCTCCGCCCCCCGTGTCCGCGGCCCCTCCGCCCCCCGTGTCCGCGGCCCCTCCGCCCCCCGTGTCCGCAGGGCCCCTCCGCCCCCCGTGTCCACGGCCCCTCCGTTGCCCGTGTCCGCGGCCCCTCCGCTCCCCCCCCCCCGTGTCCGCGGCCCCTCCGCTCCCCCCCCCCGTGTCCACGGCCCCTCCGCTCCCTGTGTCCGCAGGGCCCCTCCGTTCCCCGTTCCCGTGTCCGCAGGCCTCCCCCACACCGTGTCCGCGGCCCCTCCGCTCCCCGTGTCCTCAGGGCCCCTCCGCTCCCCGTGTCCTCAGGGCCCCTCCGCTCCCCGTGTCCTCAGGGCCCCTCCGCTCCCCGTGTCCTCAGGGCCCCTCCGCTCCCCGTGTCCGCAGGCCTCCCCCACACCGTGTCCGCGGCCCCTCCGCCCCCCCCCCGTGTCCGCGGCCCCTCCGCTCCCCGTGTCCGCGGCCCCTCCGCCCCCCGTGTCCGCGGCCCCTCCGTTCCCCGTGTCCGCGGCCCCTCCGCCCCCCGTGTCCGCGGCCCCTCCGTTCCCCGTGTCCGCGGCCCCCTCCGCCCCCCGTGTCCGCGGCCCCTCCGCCCCCCGTGTCCGCGGCCCCTCCGCCCCCCGTGTCCGCGGCCCCTCCGCTCCCCGTGTCCGCAGGGCCCCTCCGCCCTCCGTGTCCGCAGGGCCTCCCGCACACCTTGCAGCCTGTACAAATCCTTGAGGTCCTCCTGAACTGTCCCTGACTGTGTGCCCCCGGCTCAGCCCCACAGCACAGCAGCTGGAGTGGAGTGGACGCCATGGCCACGTGCCTGCCACCCTCCCCTGCCTCGGGCACCTGGCCCCAGGCAGGGCCCTGTTCTGCTGCCTGGCTGACCAGCCGGGGCTAGCCTGTGGCTCAGGCCAGGGCCCAGCGTCCACCCCATCCTGGGGGGGGGCAGGGCACCTCTGCATCCTGAGGAGGGAGAGAGGGCATCTCTGCATCCTGAGGAGGGAGGGAGGGTACCTCTGTGTCCTGGGGAGAGAGGGAGGACACCTCTGTGTCCTGGGGAGAGAGGGAGGGCACCTCTCTGTCCTGGGGAGGGACGGAGGGAGGACACCTCTGAGTCCTGGGGAGGGAGGGAGGACACCTCTGAGTCCTGGGGAGGGAGGGAGGGCACCTCTGTGTCCTGGGGAGGGAGGGAGGGCACCTCTGTGTCCTGGGGAGGGAGGGAGGGAGGACACCTCTCTGTCCTGGGGAGGGAGGGAGGGAGGACACCTCTGAGTCCTGGGGAGGGAGGGAGGGCACCTCTGTGTCCTGGGGAGGGAGGGAGGGAGGGCACCTCTGTGTCCTGGGGAGGGAGGGAGGGAGGGCAGCTCTGTGTCCTGGGGTGGAAGGAGGGAGGGCAGCTCTGTGTCCTGGGGTGGAGGGAGGGAGGGCACCTCTGTGTCCTGTGGGGGGAGGGAGGGAGAGAGGGAGGGCAGCTCTGTGTCCTGGGGAGGGAGGGAGGGCACCTCTCTGTCCTGGGGAGGGAGGGAGGGAGGGCACCTCTGTGTCCTGGGGGTGGAGGGAGGGAGGGCACCTCTGTGTCCTGGGGTGGAGGGAGGGAGGGCACCTCTGTGTCCTGGGGTGGAGGGAGGGAGGGCAGCTGTGTGTCCTGGGGTGGAGGGAGGGAGGGCACCTCTGTGTCCTGGGGGGGAGGGAGGGAGAGAGGGAGGGCAGCTCTGTGTCCTGGGGAGGGAGGGAGGGCACCTCTCTGTCCTGGGGAGGGAGGGAGGGAGGGCAGCTGTGTGTCCTGGGGAGGGAGGGAGGGCACCTCTGTGTCCTGGGGTGGAGGGAGGGAGGGCACCTCTGTGTCCTGGGGGGGAGGGAGGGAGGGAGGGAGGGCAGCTCTGTGTCCTGGGGAGGGAGGGAGGGAGGAGGGCACCCCTTTGCTGCTGTTTGCTGCATGTGCAGGGTAGGGGTAGGGAAACTGTGTTCTAAATCCCCGCTGAAGGTCTGGGAAGGTGGCTCAGTGGTAGAGCGCTTGCCTTGCATGAATGAGACCCTGGATTCAATTCCTCAGCTCTACATAAGCAGAAAAAGCCTGAAGTGGCACTGTGGCTCACATGGTAGAGCACTGGCCTTGAGCTGGAGAGCCGAGGGACAGCGCCCAGGCCCCAACTAAAAACAACATCAGGGGCTGGGAAGGTGGCTCAGTGGTAGAGCGCTTGCCTTGCATGCCTCTGAGGCCCTGGGTTCTATTCCTCAGCACCACAGAAGCAAAAAGAAAAAAGCCGGAAGTGGCGCCGTTGCTCAAGTGGTAGAGCGCTAGCCTTGAGCTGAAGAGCTGAGGGACAGCGCCCAGACCCAGAGTTCAGGCCCCACGACCGGACCCAAAAAAATAAATAAAATAAAAACAACATCAACAAATCCCAGTGGCAGAGGCAGGGAGGTCTGGCTGCCCCCCCCCCCCCAGCCACTCTGCCCAAAGATGACTCCCCTTTTCTGTGGGAACAACGCTCCCTTCCCCCTCCCAGTCTGAGGAGCCAGCACCATACCACAGCCCCTGGTGTGGCATGGGCAGCCTGGCCCTGCCCAGGAGGTGGCTGATGTGAGGGCCTGAGCGAGCGTGGGGAAGTGGTACAATCTCTGTCCCACCCCCACTTCCCCCACCCCCACTTCCGGCTGCAGGCTGGCCTGCGGGCCGGGTCTTCCCATAGTGGTCTGCAGGCAGACTGAAGCCCAGTGGAGGCTGAGAGGAAGGGCTTGTCCCTCCTGTGCCTGGTCATGGCTGGCTGGAGGGAGGCTGGCTGGAGGGTGGCTGGGGGTTGGCTGGGGGCTGGCTGGAGGGAGGCTAGGGGCTGGCTGGAGGGAGGCTGGCTGGAGGGTGGCTGGAGGGTGGCTGGGGGCTGGCTGGAGGGAGGCTGGAGGCTGCCTGGAGGGAGGCTGGGGGCTGGCTGGAGGGAGGCTGGGGGCTGGCTGGAGGGAGGCTGGGGGCTGGCTGGAGGGAGGCTGGGGGCTGGCTGGAGGGAGGCTGGCTGGAGGGAGGCTGGGGGCTGGCTGGAGGGAGGCTGGCTGGAGGAAGGCTGGAGGGAGGCTGGGGGCTGGCTGGAGGGAGGCTGGCTGGAGGGAGGCTAGGGGCTGGCTGGAGGGAGGCTGGGGGCTGGCTGGAGGGAGGCTGGGGGCTGGCTGGAGGGAGGCTGGCTGGAGGGAGGCTGGGGGCTGGTGTTGGGGGGTGGGGGCTGCACCCTGGGGCTGGTGTTGGGGGGTGGGGGCTGCACCCCCGGGCTGGTTTAGGGAGGCTGGCTGGAAGAAGGCTGGGGGCTGGCTGGAGGGAGGTTGGAGGGAGGCTGGGGGCTGGTTGGAGGAGCAAGGCTTCCAGGCTGCAGAGGGTTGAAGCCTCCTGCAGCTATGAATGTGTGGCTGTCAGTCCCCTGGTCCAGCAAACGGCTCTGTGGGGTGGGCTGCTAGCTGCTGAAGCAGGGTCCCAGGCCCATGTTCAGAAGGGATGGGCTGCGGCCGCCCCGTCTGGCCCGGCCCTCTGGGATGACGGGGGTCAGCTGTTTCTTGAGGAGAGAGGGCAGCAGCTGCCTAGCAGGCCCAGGAATGGGGTGGGCTGCCATTTCCCTTCAGAAAGCCTTGGTACCCAGGCCACGAGCCCTGGGCCCAGGAAGCTACTAGGGGCCAGGGGAGGGGCAGCTGCTTCGGATGGTCTGTGGCTTCCGGCGTCTGTCTAGCTGGACCCCTTTCGCCAGCAGCTGGTTCCAGGGCCATCCCTGCACCTGCGTGCGCATCTGCTTCCTAGGTGTGCGCAGAAGGCCCCAAGAAGCCGAGAGCCTTATT